TTAAACTTGTAGTTAAAACTTTATTTTGCTAAGGATTGAAGGGAAACAACCCCAGTGCTGTAAAACTTGCTGATACAAAGATTTCTAATAGCTGAAAAGCAGTTAACAAGCAATTACCAAAAGTGATTAGAAAAGGAAGTATGCAAACCCAGTGTCCTTTTGAAGGCACTGACTGCTGTTCAAGCAAGATGGCTATTCCCTTGTCTCCCAGAGCTCTAAAACCACTGGAGACCTCTGTCTTGTGGTCTCCTCATGAGAAGCAGCTGTCTGAAGCACTCATCTCAAGTCCTCTCCTTGTCCAGAGCGGTTTGAAGAACCAGTCTACTCACCAGTTGTCAGCCCTCCCAGTCAACCAGACAGAAAACAAGACTAGAAGAGCTAATTCAACCTTATTTTAAGGCTATATTAACAGAATCTTGCAATTCTGAAAGTACAAATCTCCTGCCCTCCCTGTTTACTGCCTGAGTAGTTAGGGTGGGTCCTTCCTAAGTTTCTTTTTTTGGCCTTTACTTTATTGCAGATTCCTTTCTCTTTTATCTGATCAGTCCCTAGGCAGCATCTTTTTCCCCCATCTTCCAAGGCCATCCTCACATTCCATCACACCAGCTGTTTGTTCTTCACTGTGGTCATGTGGAAAACTCTGCTTTTCATGGAGCCGTCTTCAGTCCGCCATTTCTTCCTCTGAAAGCGCAAAGGAGCAGGAATGATAAAGAAATCAGACAAGTCACTGAGAAACAAGAATTAATTAAAAATACAGCCTTTTAAAGCAGATTCCCCCACTTCTCCGTCTTCTACTCAGAACTCAGGAGATAATATTGAGTATGGAAGAAGAAAAAAAACAGCCTCAAGTGTTAGTGTAGGCTAGTGTCAGCTTGGATCTAGAAGACCGAAATTATATCCTTGCTCACCCAAATCATTTCTAGAGTGACTGCTGTGGGCAATCATCTTCACTCAATTTACATAGGTCTGCTGGGAAGATGGAATGGGACATCGCCCACATATATGAACATCTTTGAGAAAAAGCAGGATACTACCTTGAGGTATCAACCTAGCTAGGGACCAGAGGACCAAACTATTTGATACCCTCCACCCACATGACACTTTAATCCCCATAACCCTTAAGTAACTGGGATATATAGGAATTAGTCCAATCTATCTGGGCTGAGAAAAGAAAATCAACATAAATTTTACTGCCCATCCAACCTACCTTTGCCACATCTCAGCAGCAAGGCCAGAAAGCGGTGCTGTACTTAAATGTTTGGTTGCATGGCAGTTTCAGGGCAGTGATTGGTAGATTCCATGATAGCCACCCACCTAGCAATACCTACTTAGGGGGAAAAGTAACCACCAACCACTGTCCTGAACATGTGATAGGGCAGGGTTGAAATTTTTATTATTATTTTTACTTAGCCTTAGTTTGTATTTATTGTATGCTTTTTCTGAGAACCTGACTTGCAATAATCTGGAACACCTTTAGATAGCAGTCATACAGGTTTGTTAATTCTATGTTGAACCACCCTCCTCCACCCCCAAACATCTGCCTGAGTGATTGGAAGAATCCATTCCAAATAGACAGCAGAAAAGTCTGAACCAGAGAGCTCTCAGTGCTGTTTGTGCTTCTGCATCTTTCTTTTCTTTCTCCTTCCACTCCCTCCTAATCATTTTTGGCCAAACGAAGAGGCTTTTCTGTTGTTCAACCCCATACCACATGCATGTGTTTATGTGTATGCCTGTATGTCACACATGCTTTTCATCTTCCCAGTACACACACACACACACAATATACACACACCCCAAGTAGGGTTCTAGGTGGACAAGTCTATCAGTCTTCTTAGAGTCCAGTATTTCCATGTGTCCATTCTACTGCGGCCAAAGCCAGAATGGCCATGGAGGCCCAATACCCAGCAACTGGGCAGGGAAAGGGCATTTCCACAGAAAATTTCCCCAGGCAATTAGAGTTGAGCAGATCACCATCCACGATCATCCAAGTCTGCCCTTAAGGCTTTTTAGATTGCCAACACAGGATGTTTTATCCTGGAAAAAAGAAGGAAAACACCACTCCCAAACTGGATCAATGAAGGATGGCTCTAGAATGCTTCAGCTGTCTAGGAATGAGATGGAGGCAACATCACGAGGACATTCTCTCAAAAACAGTTAGCAATGCGCCTTCATGCTGCCACAAGCAGGACTGAGAATTAGCCCTTAAACTAATAATTCATTAACATCCCAGTGAAGCATGGAGAGAGATGTTTATTCATAGTACATCGGCTAGCTATCAAGGAAAAAAAAGCTTGTGGTGGTAGTGGGCACCTCAATAAAAATGTCAGGTTTTTGTGTGACATTAGTGAAAAAGGTTCTATTCTGTGCTAAGAATGGATGAAGATCTTTAAAAACCAGAAAACAAAACAGTAGCATAAACTAGACAAATGGTGCTATATACTCCTTTTTGCCCCATCTCAAAAAGGGCATTGTAAAGATAATGATCTCCAGGCAACCCCATATTTGAATGATATCAAAGGCCATGTTGGCTGGCAATTGTGGAACTTACATTCCCAACACATCTGGTGGGACTCCAGATTGGGGAAGGCTGATTTGACTAGTTGGAACACATTCAGTATGAATGCTTGGGGGCTTTTTAGATTAGCAAATGATAGCTAAGAGATAGCATGGCTAAGTGAAGTTATTCTCTCCTTCTCACAAACAAGAGTTGTTATCACCTGTGGTGTTAAACTAGGGCACTGCCTTTGGGGCAAAAGAGTTCCAGGGTACCTCCTTCAGTTTATTCCTTTTGAGGATACTGCAGCTGCAGCTTAAAAGATCATTCACTGGATGACAGTCTGCAGGATGAAATTAATCAAGACTTTTTTGGGTTTCCATACACTGCTGTGTACACACACACATATAAAAACAATCAGAAAAAGGAAGACATAAAGAAATACCCACCCCCTCCCTCCTGCCAGGATACATGAATACCCATCACAGTATTCCCTTTCAGGAATACATAAAAATAAAACAATAGGATGCTTTAATTTCAAGGATGCCAGTAAAATCTTTGAAACTAGCATGCCAACCATTATATACAGTATTATGTTAGGTATATTTTCCCTGTAGAATATATTAGATCAAGACAATTGCTTTATAAAGACTGAGTTCCCCACTCCCACCTGATATCCAACTGCCTCTAATTTTCTGACATAATTTCAAAACTTTGCAAGATATTCAATTCTATATATTCAGATGTCTTGTCTGGAGAACCAAGATGAAGAGTGTATTAAGACTGAAGGCTGAATCTGGACTTAATATCTATGAAATAATCATTCTCCCTAAGAAATAATGCATAAATATGATGGTTTCAAGATGTGCCTTTTTCTTAGGCCTGCCCTTTTTGACCAACTGCCATGAGAAGATGCTCCCAAAGTGTTACATTTCTGCTTTCTGCTTGATCTTCTCCATCAGCTTCTGAGGACAGGAGGGTAGCACTTGCAAAGAGATAGATAAATAGACAGACAGACAGAGGTTTGCTAGTTTCCTGTTTCATAAAAGACAATGACTAGAAGAGGCATGGACTTCTGTTGAAAAGGATTTCCACAATGTAAGCTAGTTTTCTGATGTAGTTATGCACGTATATGCATAAAAGAAGGAGCATATAATCCCACTGTTATTCTGATTGCATGAGGTCACAGAAAATGAACATCAGCCTGAGGATGGATATTAACCAATTGACAAGATAATAGAATAACCTTGAGGTCTTATTTATGAGCACAGCTCCTCATTCTAGTCATTCTCTATTCCATATGTAACCAGGAGTAAAGATATTGTTTTTAAATCAAAGGCATTCACACACATTTTTTTTTTCCATTGGCCAGATGTTAGTGACAGGTAGGACCTGATGTCTTCAATAGGTGGGACTAGGGCAGCAATCAGTGGGTGGAAACCTGCTGTTTGTTTTTCTGAAATACCCTCCTTTCTTTAAAACCTCTTTATCTCTCTCCCAGTGAGAGAGCAACCCCAGTGGGCTGCTGGAGATGGACAGGTGATCAGAATTTTTGTTTATGGCTTTTTAAGTTAAGACACACACACACACACACAGAGGGATGGAAGTTACTAACCTCTCTTCTGAAAACCCATCTCTTTGGCTTTCTGTTTATCGGTGACACCATTTTCCCATCCAAGATTACATTATCAGAATAAACCTGGTATGGTTCACAATTCTCTTCTAATATCCAGGAAAAAGATAAAACACGCTGCAATGTGAACACTGAAATATCAGAATGAAAGATGATTATGCAGGTCTATCACATAACTCTCCATTTGAAATTCAGGAGCTGGCTTGACTCCCCTCCCTTTCTCATACATGTCCCTTTTAGGAGGAAGGGGTGCAGAGATGCCAAAGTGATCTATAGAGCAATAGCTTTGGAACATCATGATTTCCTTCTTATGAAGATAGATTCAACAAATAATCTCGTAGCACGGGGTGGGGGTGGGGGCATCCTGTAGCTACAAATCTTCCCATCCCTTGTGGTAAACTCAACCATAAGATCATGGCAGCAGCTCATTCTTTTTTTCTTAACACTGTTAAAAGGCTTCAGTTTTATGCCAGCATAACCATGCCTGAAATATTCCAGCAATGCTGAGTATGAAGGGAGGGGGTCAACCTCCTGCATCAGGCACACATGCACTAAATCTCCTCACTTATTCTTAGAGACCAGAGTTGGTGCGCAACCTTCCCAAAGGTCGCCACAGCTGGACGGCAACAGCACCCAGGAAAAGTGCCCCGGGTGCCCCCTGCCCAATCCAACCTGCAGCGCAGTCACAAACAGGACGAAGTTTAGGGTCCCTGTTTGCGCAGGTTGCCTTCTTGCCAACGGTTGCAAGCAGGCCAGCGCCGAGGAAGGGCGACCGCAGTTCGGTCGGGCTTCTCATTTTCTCTCTGTCTCTCGTGTTAGGCGGCCGATAAATAAAAAGCGGTTTGGAAATTCAAGCGGGGTCGACGGAGGAGATGCGTCAGCGGGCGCCCTAGGACGTGGTTGGGGTGAATCTATTAATCACGTCAGGAGCTGCAGGTCTGGGCGGAGAAAGTGGAGGCTGGACTGAGAGAGAGAGAGAGAGAAAGAGAGAGGGAAGGGGTGTGCGTCTGGGGCTTCTGCACCTATCCATCTCTCCGACACCTCCTTCGAATCATTCCCAGTCCTGCCGAGTTCAGAGTTGCGCTGCTGCCCGCAAGGATACACAGGAGGAAAGCGAAAGGCCGAGAGGGCTGGGAAGCTCCCTGATCTGGCTCCCGGGACGAACATCAGATGACAGCTCGAGCACGCCGTGGGAGGGGAACCCCGCTCGGCCTTCGCCGCTAGAGAGCCCGTCACAGCGGAGCCAGCTGCGGCTTCCCCGAAAGGCGAGGAGTCGCAGAGCAGCGGCCCGAGCGCGGGAGCAACTCCAGAGAGACCGAAGCGCGAACCGCCGGCGGGGGGCAGAAGAGCGGCGGGGAGACTTGTCCCCCGCAGCCCGTCGCCTTGGCAAAGCCGAGGAGGGGCGCGCCGAGGCAGGGCTGGAAAGGGAAAGCCGGCGAGGGCCAGGGCGGTGCAAGGAGAGCTCCCCGCTTGGAGCTGAAGGCCGGACCGAGGATGCTGCTGCTGCTCCCGCTGTGGCTGCTGCTGCCGGAGCTGGCGCTCCTGGCGCCGGCTCAGAAGTTTTCAGCGCTCACGGTAAGGCAGCCAGGCTGGCTGGTGAACCTCCGGCTGCTTCCTGCTCCTTCCCCCTCGTCACCGCGCCGGGGCAGCAAAACCTTCCCTCCGCCCTTCGCCCACGCTGGGCACAGGCTTCCCTCCCACGAGGATGCCCGCTGAGCCCCTTTGGCCAAGCGGGAGCGTGCCCTGCAGCCGGGAAGCTGCGACTGCGCTGGTCTCGGTGCCCAAAGTCTGGAGGTGCCAGAATTCGGCGTTTTCACCCCGCTTCTTCCACGCGTCCCTCTCACGTGTTGGCTGAAATCCTCCCTCGAGGTGGTCGGCTTGTTTTAAAAGCAAAAACAGGGCTCCAGTCCTTAATGCTACATCCAGCCCCCCCTTTAAAATGTAAAATCGGCAATCATGGCTTTTAGACCCCTATTCTCCCCCCAATACCCACAGGATAGGTAACGTTTGTTTGATAGGATACATTTTACTAGCAGAAATCTTAAAACTGGCATCCTTCTTAAGAAATGGTGTGTGCACAGACATGCTTGTTTGAAGTTAGTTGGTAGTCTCTGCGAATTTTGCATAACTATCTTCCCACAACCAAGGGGAAATTACTTGGTATTGATTTCCCCATGCTTAATGGGCATTGATATTTACATCAGTTCTGTTTGGAGCATAAGGAGAGTTTGAAGGAGCATTAATAAGATTAACTAATGTTAAGTAAACATCTGTGTCTTGGGAATTCTCCCTGAGGCATTGTAAAGTAATTGAGAGCAATGCAGTTTATTTAGTTTGTATTCAGATTATGGACATGTCAATGCTGTATTTAGGATTTATTTAATCCAGTATGGTTCCGCTGAAAGTGCTTGGACTAAGTAAGTGTAAATGCAAGGAAAGTGGTTAAGTGGTTTGGGTTTGGCAGCTTTCAGCTTGCTGAAAACCGTCGGGGGAATTAGGCTCCCTGCTGAAAACCAGCTGCCTTTTGAAAAAGGGATGGAGTGAACCACAGATTTAAGAGTCTGAAACACTGATCCGAAATGCATTGAGTTGGGACACAATTAAATCTTCAAATATTTTAGGGCAATTTATTCCAAAGGAGGCCCCCCACTTGAAATTATGCTGCTTGGAGATAGAGTTCACTCCAGTGAATGGGACTCACTTTCACTTTCTATGTAGATGCTCCCTGATTAACTCTATTAAAGGGAACTGAGTAGGAAGCAAACTGGTGCAGAATAGGCTTGATTAAGATCCAGCTTCAGCACTGCTGACTTATAATCACTGGGCATGATCCAAAGGAACCTGGCTGTACTTATCTATGCTCTTTTGAAATCAGTAGAGCTTTTAAGCATTAAGTCTAATGAATGAATGACTCTAGATGGCTAACTTTCTTTCACTCACTTCCAATATGTTTAACATAGCAGCAGCTGACTACTATATTTCCTGAAATATCAACTCACCAGGTATTTGAACTTGCTTCAGCAATTGGAATGGATATTCATTTCCCATTCATGCACTGAGGATTCACTGAAAGTGTGGACAGAAATCCCAGTCATTCTTAGTAATTTTAGTACCTCTCCCCTCTAAGCAGGTATGCTTAGGAGTACCCTGATTATTCTGATTTGTGAACTATTTCTTTTAAAGTACTTTATCCAGGCAGCTGCTGTGTTGCCAAGATCTGTAGGCTAGTTTTTTAAAAAGACCAATCATCACTATCCTGGGAAAACTCACAGTTGTGGAATTTATATTTTGTAAGATGATAGTTATCTTGTAAGATGATAGTCTGGATAGCCTTTCAGATACACAGCATACTCTTGGCTCAGAGAGCAGTGGATGTCCTATCTCCAGCTTGACTCCCAAGTTAATTGGACTGTTCAAGTCCAAATATTTGATTTAACATTAATTTATTCATGAAACATTTAACCACCCACTAACTGATGTACACCGCCCAGAGTCACTTTGTGTGAGATGGGTGGCTAGATAAATTAAATAAATAAATAAATAAATAAAATAAATAAATAAATAAATAAATAAATACTGGTTATTCTACAAAATATGTCCAATGCAGAAAACAGCATGAAGGTCCAGGAGGATTTCCCCTTCTCCAGTATTGGCTGAGAAAATTCATTCAACTCTCCTTCCTAACTTCCCATCCCCACTCCACAGCCCTCTGTCGTGAATCAGAAGATCTTCCTTTCTCAAAGCTTTATGCTGGGGAAAGGAAGAGTAAATACGTGTGTTTTGTGTGGGTATTTTCCCCTTCGCACTCTTAGCTCCATTTCTGGCCAGATATGATGTACAGAAGGGTAACTTATGATCACGGATTGACCTCTGAGCCTCATTTCATGCTCAACTCAGAAGGACACCAGCTTTTTGGAAAAGGAGCCATTTTGATATTGAACTCTCCCCTTTCAAAAACTTGCCTTATTCCAAGATTCCAGTTCTCAGCATCAGCCATGTTGCTAAGATATTGCATATGAATTTTACTAAAGTACAGTCTCAGTAAGAATAAATGCAAACAGACTTGCAAACAAGCTATTGCTCCACATTAAAAAAACCATACTCTAAATGTAATTACTTACTAGTCATCACCATAAGAAAACAGAACTAATTCTTGTTGTATACTCTATCAATTTCATGAGAATACTTTAAGAGTAATGCCCATACATTCCCTGGATGTAAGTTGACATGAAATCACATCCTATATATGATTTTATAAATGCTGGTTATCACAGTTTATCACTCTTGTACATTCCAGTTTCCTCTCTCTCTTTGTAAAAAAAAGAAAAAAAAGACTTTTTTTTTTTAAAATCCCAAGTTATCTACCTGATCTCATTTATCTGTTAAATCGTAATACAGACTGCACACTGGATTATGAGATATAATGTAGTGGTAGGTTTCAAAACATGAACTGGGCAAACAAGTAAGTAGAAGAAGTTTCTCTGATTTCTCATACCAAACAGCCTTTTATTTGATAGCATATAACAATATAGCAATATATAGCAATAATAACAATGCAGGTAATCCTCAGCTTATGACCACAACTGGGACTGGAACTTCAGTTGCTAAGCTCCCAATTTTATGACCTTTTTTGCCACAGTGGTTAAGCAAATCACCGTGTTTGTTAAGCAAATCAGCTTCCCCCATTGATTTTGCTTGTTGGAAGCTAGCTAGAAAGGTCACAAATGGCGATCACAAGACCCTGGGACACTGCAACCATTGTAAATAAATGCTGGTTGTCAAGCACCCAAATTTTGATCAAGTGACTGCAGGGACACTGCAATGGTCATAAGTGTGAGGACCAGTCATAAGTCACTTTTTTCAGCGCTGTCATAACTTCGAACAGTCGCTAAACAAATGGTCATAAGTCAAGGACTACCTGTAGTATACAATTCCATCTGACCAAAGAATGACCAGTTAAAGTCCCCCCACTCTACCCTGAGTGCCTTTGCAATACTGCATTTTCATGATACTTCCGTACTCTGAAAACTTGCATTATCTTGTTTCCTTGGAGAAGGAATGGGCAACAGATATTCCTGATCTCCATCTCTCATCAGCCTTGGTCAGCATATCTAATAATGAGAAGATAGGAGATGCAGTCTATCAACACCTGGTAGGTTGCTGGTTGCTGATGCCTTCACTGGATGAAGGCTGCATTTACTTCTGGCAAATCCTTGCATACGTTAATCTACACAGAAGTAAAAGCAGCAGCCAAGTGTAAAGCACAGTGGATATACAACAAGCCTGGGTTATACATTGCTTCTAATCCAGTGGATTTCAATGGGAATTAATTGAATACATCTGCGCACAAGATTTTAGCCTTAGGACATGACTTGAAAGCAGCCATGGAGGTGCTGTCTGAATGTTACGACTGGCCATATAGCTTAGGCTGGGAGGAGGAGGAAGATAATTGGTCCCCAAGAGGACAATGCTGAGCTGATTTCAAAAAGGCAGCCATGTAAGTTGCATGTGAATTGACATTTATATACCCATCTATACTTTTGGACAGAAGTGATAGGAAAGGTTGAAACAGCCTCTAGGGATCCCTATATTGTGGAGTCCTTGGTGCTTTCTGAGCTTGGTTGTCTGCTTGCAGACATTTCATTATCCAACTAGGTAACATCATC